CAGCGACCGGCGACAGCGAGAGCGACGGGGATAGCGGTCTCGAGACGACTCAGGTGCGGTGAGCAGCAAGAATTGAGGGTCGTTCTCTGGTACGGTAGGGTATCCGTACGCGGTACCGACGACAGAGAGCGCTGTATCTGTAGAGTCGCAACAAGGTATCCGTAAGGGGAACGTGTGTTGTGCGGTCACGACGGTGTACCCAGCAGGCTTCAGCAAGTCAGCGCCGTGTGGAAGAGACCTGGCGCGTGAGGCAAAGTGGAAAAGGCGACGGGACCGAAAAAAAAAAAAGGGATCCGCGTAAGTATGGAGTCGAAGTCCGACGATGAGGAGTATTTCCAAGAGGGACTAGGACCAGTAGTAGGGGCGGCGGCAACGGCCGGAGAACCACCAGCAAGGTTGCAATCGTTAATTTCCAGATGCCTGCTCCTTTGGGCGAAGAAAGTGTCGATGTAGGGACAAGCGTATGCTGTAGGCGTCTTGGTTTTGACTTGTGCTTTTGGCACTGGGAAGAGTCGACGAGGTTGTGGAGGGGGGGCGTTCGTTTGGTTTTGGACGCACAGACTGACTTTGGGTAGACGGACCGGGCAGAGGGTTGAAAAGCAGCTTGAGCTCCGAGGCAGACGCGAGGGAAGAAGTGGGCTGAACGGCGGGTCGAACCTGTGAGGGCGAAGTATCTTGAAGGTACTGCAAGTTCCGTGGACCGATTCGAGCTTTGGCAAGATGGAGGTGTGAAAGACCGCAGCAGGGGAATGCGACTGTGACTGCGACTACTATTACTGCTGTTGCTGCTGCTGCTGCTGATGCCGATGCGTAAGGTAGGCTGGCGGGGAATATGCGAGATGCATTCGTACAGACTGAGAGTAGGTAGTGTGTGCGAGGTGCAGCTTGCAGAAAGAGTCGATGTGCCCCAGGTGGAGGCGGGAGCAACGAGATATGGGATATGATGGACGGTTCCTCTGGAGTCTGTCTGGCTCAATCTGTATTCGCAGGCTAGTCAAGAAGAGTTGGAGCGAAAGTGAGAGTGAGAGAGAGAGAGAGGGAGAGAGAGAGCGCGCGCCAGGCGATGCGAGATGCGAAACGAAACGAAGCAGAGACAAGGCGACGAGTGGAAGCAAGTATTCGTGGTTGTACCGCAGTACCCGTACCCCGTAGTGCCGTGAGGTGGTCGACGGCGATGTTTCAACGTGGGTGTCGTGGGTGTGCAGCGCAGTGCAGTGCAGTGCCCTCCCAATTCTCAGGTGCCCGGTATTCGTACTCCGTACCCGTACCTAGGGTATTCGTACGTGAGCAGTTGCGCAGGGCAGACACCTAAACACTGGCTTCACTGACAGTGGATGGCGTAGCGCGCTCACTTCACAGCTGGGCGGTCTGAGAGTACCTTATCCAGGAGAGAGCATGGGAAATGGGGCTCGTGATGGGGATTTGGCGTGATTGGGATTGGTTAAGAGAGTGGGAGGGGGGAGGCGGGAGGGGAAAGGCGAGGGAAGAAAGAAACTCGAAGGTGTAAAAGTGACTCGGGGAACGTCTGGGCAAGCCGCAAGTGGGGAAAGGGGGGGTGGGAAAGGGGAAAAAAAAGAGAACAAATGGTTGAGAGGAGAACTCGAGAAGGGGGAGGGGCAGGGAGCCGATTACTGCCGGGTGTGGAATACCTAGTCTCATCTGGGTGAGTCTGGAGTCGAACCTTTTCTAATGTTCCATTGGCTACCTTAAAGCTCAATTCGATGACAATGTTCATGAACATACCCCGTAGCAATCGTGTACCGGTATTCAAATATCGCAAGGTTTCTGTTTCGTCTGCCTGGCTTTCTTTCACTCATTGAGTCGGAGAAAATACACAAATAAACAAGAAAAGGGGTGAGAAGTGTCGAGTGAAAATGTGCAAGTATCGTATCTCCTGGGTAGGAAAAGGAGTGAAGCAACGACTGCTCCTTGCCAAAGTCCATGCCGCCGGTCAGCCCAGGTGCTGGGATTGTAGAATGTGTACGGAGTATCCGTACGCAGTAACAGTAAAGCACGCCTTGCCTTACTTGGCAGATCTATCCTTAAGAAACCATCATCGTATTTCTCATACTTTGCCCTTATTCTTTAGACCGCATGCTATCTCTCACCCGTGACTACATAGACACAGCATCCTACTGCCCTGTGCTCAGGTTTAGCTCAGAAGTGAACTTATCTCATAACGTCTAGTCGTTCATCAGTGAGGTGAGTCAGTGAGGTGAGTGAGTGGATGAATGAGTGAGGTCATGTCAAATTCAGTCCCAACTTTCACTCTCACCCTAGGTCACTTCACTCACTTCACTCACCGGAGCCAAGGGACGACCGGCTCTGCTGGTAAATTGACAAACACTTACGCACTGACCCCTCTTTTCCAGGGACTTTCTAAATGTACCTTAGGTAAGCCCCAGATGTACCGACCGGCGACAACTGAGAGTCCTCACACATCCGTATCCGTACACTACCTGTAAGGTACACTACATTTCAACTCCATCTTCAGGACCTCAACCCCCAGCAACCACCCCCTCCCAACTTCCAAAAGACCCAAACTCCCGTCGGCCCCTCTCACGGGAGCAAACGAGGGAAATGCAAGAAGCGAAAAGAAGCCACCCAAATTACCTACGGATACCCAACATCTACCAAACACAGCTGGGCCGCAGTCGTGTTCCTCGTCTCTCCTGATCACGATATTTGAACTTCAGTGCCCTCTCCCGCGCTGGCGTACTCCCCTTTCGTTGTACGACGTTAGGGGGCCCGCCTCAACTGCGCGCCGGTCCTCTTGTCCCGCAGGCCGGACCACGCACCATCAATCGAAATCCTGCGGCAGCGGTAGGAGAACCAGGAGGGGAAGCAACATCAGACGATCGAGCTGCAAGAGGACCCTTTTTTTTCCGGTCCTTGTGTGTCTATAGTACATACTTACGGAGTAGCTGTTAGGCGCAGGCCTACTATATCTTGCAGAAACGCTGCACATGCAGCCACAGAACGTGTGCCAGCTTCCAACATCCCACATTCCCACACGCTACGCATACACTACGCCTACCCACCCTTGCGCAACGGAGGGGGGAAGCGTCACCAAGGGAATTGCCATTTGTCCTCCAATTCGAATGCATACAAACACCACGGAAACAGATTCTGGTCCGGTACTACGAAAGTATCGACGACGCTGATTGTACGTTTGGGCTTGGAATACTCCAAGATACACAGAGACTCGAGAAGATACCAAAGGATACGGATACCAGGCAAGCAGTAATTGCCATGGGAGGCTGGTCCTTGTCCTGGTCCCTGTCGTCACCGCTCCTCTGGGCCTGTCATCCACGCTGTCTGCTGTGCCGCGCTCGGTTTTTTCTCCCCCGTCTCTGACCGTCTTACGGAAACAAGTTACGCTATCTGCTCTCGGTGCTATAACCCTTGGACAATTTTCCGGGCCGCCTCCATCCCAGCCAGCTGACGACTGAGGACGAAATCGACCCTGTTGACGATGAAGGGCAGGAGGCTGGAGACTAGAGCCTAGAGCTTAGCTTCCGCTGCATGGTATAGAGACACAGGTGGCAGAATACCTACTGCACCACGTCGGTGACACTGACAGATCCAGCAGAAAACCCCCTTGCGTGTTGTGTCTTGCCCCTCGTCGGAAACAAACATTGCCTGGCCTGTCATGTCTCAGGCGAGCAATCCCGGGATAGGCACCCTGCCGACCCGACGATGGCCCTGGGAAGTTTGGGAACACTGATGACTGGACAGGCACCGCGGACCGCGGACGACGGCGCACTCTCACGGCTCTCACACTTGGACCACGGTACACTATAGAACAACCCGCCCACGCTACGAATTGCAAAGACGTGGGAAAACGTGGGAACCCGGCCACTTGTCATTTTGGGTGGATGCAGATGTTTCAACATTCCCCGGCTGTCCCCTGGTTCTCGAATTGTTCCAGCCTCGTTTTTGTGCAAAGATTGGGCCTCTGCCTCGTGTCGCGCCAGGATTGTGCCTGTCTGGGTTCCTCGAACCAAGAAAGCCACCTGCTCCGTTGCATCTCGACCAACGCCCCGAATGTGTCCTAGCCAGGCAGCCGGTTCACTCTAGCTGAGAAGCGCTACTGCTGCTCCAAGATGGTTGGATCAATATAAGGCGGCCGTCTCCTTTTCGTGTAATGACCGAGTTAGCGCCCCTTTACGGAGTAGTTTTCCGAGAAGTGTACCGACCGTTTCCTCCGGTCTGGCCCGCTTCTGTTCGGCCGAGTCATGGGATGGCGGGCGAGAGTGGCCCCTTTGCCCGTGGCTAGCTGACCATAGGGTCAAAGAGCTGGAGCGTGGAAGGGGCCCCGCGAGGCAGGCCGGTCGTCAACGTGGAACGAGCCCCTGGAACCTCATCAGCGGTGCCTCCGTGTCGGACCGCCGATCAGTCATTCACGGGTCTATGACTCCATGTGCTATATACCGGTGTCATCTCCAGACAGACAAGCGGTGGTATGGAAACGAGCCTCCACCTCCATGTGCATGTCGGGCCCGGCTTCGCTTAACACGTCCTTTACATTTTGGGGCTTGATATGACGGACAAGTGCGACGATGGACGTGTCTAACCCTCATCTCGTTTACTCTTCACGTCTCGGCCCAACGCCTTGTTTGAGCTACATATCTACGGCGCTTCCCCTCTCTGACGCAGACCATGAAGAAGATGCCATGAGGGCAACTTGCTACAATACTGCAGTCAAACAGACTCGATGCTGCCTTCTCCGCAACCTCTCTTGGCGTGATGGAGGACGACGGAATGATGGATCATGAGTGCGACAGTTGAACATGCGGTTCCCGGTTCCAATTTGTACGGCGGTACGCCTAGTGAACCAGGCCTCTCGCGGGCTTGAAGTTGCAAATCTGCTCACGACGGATGCTCGAACTTCTAGAAGTCTAGCTAGCCGAGCACAACTTTGGTCAACGAAAGGGCTTGTTAGTGATAGCGATCTGATATCACGTTGCGATCACGTTGCGATCACGTTGCGAGGAAAGGCAGAGTTTGGACATTTCTCATTATTTCATACGTTCTATGTAAAAGGTAGTCAGAGCGAAGACGCTGCTACTTGCCAAAGTCATGCCCCTTGAAGGCTGACCAAAGCGTCATGTTGCCATTCGCAGCGCCACGCCGGGTATTCGGGTGGAGAGTGCGTGTACACACGTCTCCAGGTGGGAAGGACTTGATGCTTGACATCATCGGCCTCTTTTGCTTTTTCAACACTCTGGGATCTCGTCCGCTCGTCGTTCCCAGACACTCAGATACTTAAGCACCGAGGCCCGTCATCCAACATAGCGTCCCCAAACCAAGTTCCACTCGTGGCCACTGGCGCCTGCACTTAGGCGACGGTGGCCTTCTCCTTGGGTAAAGGGGTGAAGCGCAGGTAGGGCTTGACGATGCGGACCTCGGGGAAGAGCTCCTTGGCCTGCTCGGTCTTGATGGAGGGGTGGACGATGACGTCGTCGCCGGGGACCCAGTTGATGGGGGTGGTGATCTTGTGCTTGTCGCCGGTCTGGAGGGAGTCGACGATGCGGAGAACCTCGGCGGAGTTGCGGCCGGTGGAGGCCGGGTAGGAGAGGATGGTGCGGATGGTCTTCTTGGGGTCGATGATGAAGACGGAGCGGATGGTGAAGGCGATGCCCTTCTCGTCAACGTTTGTGGTGTCCTGGTAGTCGAGCATGTCGTAGAGGAGAGCGACCTTGCGCTCCTTGTCGGCGATGATGGGGAAGGCGACCTTGGAGCCGGTGACCTCGTCAATGTCCTTGATCCAGCCCTCGTGAGAGCCGAGGGTGTTGGCGGAGAGGCCGATGAGCTTGACGCCGCGCTTGGAGAAGTCGGGCTCGAGCTTGGCGAAGGCGCCGAGCTCGGTGGTGCAGACGGGGGTGTAGTCCTCCGGGTGGGAGAAGAGGACGACCCAGCTGTCGCCGATGAAGTCGTGGAAGTCGATGGGGCCGTTGGTGGTGTCGGCCTTGAAGTTGGGGGCGACGGTGCCGAGGCGGAGACTGTTTGGTGTGATATTAGCATTGGTGTACGGCCAAGAGGCGAGCGTGGTCGTCAACCATGACGGGGGAGTATCACGGCGCGGGGTTGAGTTTCTATGGGGGCGGGTTGGCAACTTACGGAGCGGGGCGCTGGTCAGCCATTGTGTCTGTCTTCTTTGTAGAGTATGAGAAGATGTATGTGTGAAGGGGTATATGGTATGGAAAGAACAAGGAGCGAGAGAGACAGGAACGGGAAAGGCTACGGTCGATGGTGTGGGAGTCGAGGTGTAATATATAGCTCGAAGCCGCGCCCCAGGCACAGCCCAGAGCAACGTACAAAGTCCGGTCGTTTCCGTACCTCTGTACCTTTTCTCAGCTTCCCGCAGCTTTCCCGTTCTCCAAGGTACCTCCGATTTGTCCCCTCCTTGCTGCCTTTGCCTTGCCTTTCTTTGCCCGACACTACCTACTATGTACATTATCTGGAGGCACGTTTACCCATTTCTCGGCCGTTGAATTTTACCCTGAAGTTGCCTATGTCTCTGTTGTTCGTTTGGTCTTGTTCTTGCAGTATTGCCTTGTCTCCAGTTGACGATATGGTCGCCGACGTGCCAAGCTCATGCAACTTACGCGCTCCAGCTCGAGTACAACTCTCAGCATATGCCCCAATGAAGCGTCACATCACCGAGCATTGGCATTGGCAACCCGTAGAAAGCCACAGAATCTGCTGGGTGACGGGTATCCTCTCTACCAAAGAAATGATTTGTCTTTGTACCTGCCCGTGTCTCTCCCCCCAAACTGGCACGTTGTTCCCTCAACGACGAGCGGGCAAGCTCCTCCAACTTTTTGCCCCGCGTTGGAGGGGCTGTGATTTTCACTTTTGCAGAGGTCACTTTTACCCCTCCAAGTCCGAACTCGGCTAGACTCGATGGCGTGCTCGATTACATCATCCTTGGCTCAGGGCACATCATGAGAAATCACATCCTAACTGCAGTGAAGAAGACGCCTACTGGGCCCCTTTGGGAGAACCCTTACGGCGCTATTTGCAGAGGCTAACCCGCTAAGAAGTGCTCCAGCCTCCAGGGCATAAGGTAGTGTGTCACTGTGAGTACGGAGATATTGTTTCTCATCTGGGAGCTCAAGGGTGCGGTCCACTTTGCCCGTCACCTCCCGTCCCGTCTTATTGTGTGATGCCGTAGATGTTCTTCAGCAATGAGTGAAGCCCGAGATATGTACGACTGTAGCCCAACACAGCTGCTATCTATTGAGTCTTGATGTACGTATAGGATGGCATGTAGAAAAACGTCCAACGGCGATCAATGGTGCAATCCAATCCAACAACTACTGACCCCCACTGCTTGGTCACCACATCATCCGCGCCGCACATCGAACCATCACAAAAGAAGAACCCTAGAAAGGTGCCACGGCATCAAAGGTATCCGAATAGTGGTGCTCCGTACCCCAAAGCCTACCCATCTTGCCATCCACCACCCCGGTAGCTCCTCGCACGCCATCGCCGACAACCGATGCCCCTCCCGTCCCACGGTCCCACTCACATCGCCGACCTCCTCCGTTCCCGCGCCGACTGCCGGATGCCGATCCCCGGGCTCAAAAAGGCAATTCATCCTAGAGCATCGTCGAGATAGTCAGCCTGTGTTTACTCTCTCGGCGTGTCATAGTACCTGTGTCGAGAATCCCTCTAGCACTCTCTGGATCACAAATCTGCCGTGATGCTCGATATGCTTGGCTTTCCTGCTGACTGATCATGCTTCCTGAGTCGGGGGACACTGGCATTCTTACTCTGCCCGGCACCAAGATACCCTCTGTCATCTGTCAAGGAATCATCGGTCGACTATCCTGTCTATAAGCCAGGCTAGGTCGGTGTTGTCTGACCAAGAACGGAGACTCTCCAAGACTACTCAAAACTCATTTCATTTCCCGAACCCATCATTGTTGAGACAAGTTATCGCAACGACGACGAGGAGAATTCATCGTACCATGGCCAACGTCTGTCGATAAGACTTTGTTGGCATCCTCTCTGGTCCCGCCACGCCACTGCTTTCTAGTGAAAGCAGAAATGCAATTTGGAGGATATCAATCATCTCGGTAAAATGCTGCGCCACTCGCTAGGATCATCAGTGTGCTCACGCGCCCCGACCTTTGCGTTGCTCTGGACAAGACTACAGAAGAGACATAGAGGTCGACGCCTTAGAAAGTGAGCTGGAGATCTTGTGCTCGAATTGACGGGGGTCCATGACAAAATGCTGCTGCCTTGCGCAGACGGAGTCGACCTCCGCAGGAATGCCAACCTCTCCTAATCTTGCCTGGTATCCGATGCCTTTCTGCGTTCTTGAACCTTACAAAGTCGAAAACCTACTATCCCAGGAAGAACAAAAGGGAAAAGGCTCAGCTTGAGGGGGAAATCCGACATCACCACCCGCATTGACATCAATATCAATAGGGACACTCTGCACTGGTTATTTGGGGAACACGAGCCTCTAGAACCCCAAATCTCATACCAGCCAGACTCTGACAAAAATCATGGACCCAAATTACACCAAAGCCGAAACCCAAACCTTCCACCTCTCAGACGGCCGCACCCTAAGCTTCGCAGTCTTTGGCGCCGGTGCAGAGACGTTCAACACCACCACCACCACCCCATCGTCACCCACGCAGCAAGGGCAACCTTGTCCGACAGCCGTGCTATTCTACTTCCACGGCTTCCCCAGCAGCCACGAAGAAGCCTCAATCTTCCACCAAGCCGCACGCCGCCAAGCCGTCCAAATCATCGCCCTCGATCGACCAGGCCACGCCGGCTCCATGTTCCAGTCCAACAGGCGCATCGTAGACTGGCCTGCGGACGTCCTCGCCTTTGCAGACCACTTTACGATTCCTCGTTTCGGCGTCCTCGGTCTATCAGGGGGCGCACCGTATGTTTTTGCATGTTGGAGAGCCATCCCGCGCGAGAGACTCGTGGTGGCGGGGGTTTATTCGGGGTTATACCCGCCTGAGCTTGGGTACGCCGGCATGCTCCTCCAAGGACGGGTGATGTTGACGTTGGCACCGTGGATCGCGCCGGTCGTGGCTTGGGGTATGGAGATGTCACTCGGCAGAGCGGCCAGAGACGAGGCAAGGCCGGGGAGGTTTGAGGGGATCGTGCTGGAGGATTTGAAGACGAGGCCGGGCGTTGATCGGGATGTGTTGGAACGGGATGTTGGCGGGGTCCGGTCTGCTATGCTTGCTAGTGTGCGGGATGCTGTTTTGCCTGGGGGATGGGGCCCGGCTTGGGATGTCAAGTTGGCGGGGAGTTATTGGGGATTCGAGATTGGGGAGCTTGTGGTTAGGGACGGGGAGATGGTTTGGTGGCATGGGAGGGAGGATGTTAATGTGCCGGTTGGTCTTGCGGAACGGGCGGCGGAGTGTGTGCCCGGGGCGGAGGTGAGGTTTGTGGAGGGGGAGGGGCACGTTAGTCTTGTGGTGCGCAAGGCGGACGAGGTTATATCTACTCTTGCGAGCATGCTGAGGAAGGCAAGTTGAGGGCTAGAAGTATGGGACATATCACAGGAAGTTTAGTACGTGATATTGATTTTATTACTGATGACTATGGATTATTCTTGTTATAGCCGTGCTTCTTCCCTGCTGGCCTCTAGAAACTTTGGAGACTGTGAGCAACGAAGCTCTGGTATCTCCGGTGACATGCCCATTTTTCTGAACTCCAATTCATTGAGGAGGGCTCGCCGGGGGAGTAGAGGGATCGCTGTTGGGCGAAGGAGGATCATTGTTCTTGCTATCCGTCACTCTAGCGTCCGTATTGATCGTAATGTTCATTTTGGGTCTTGTGGATGGTGAAGACTGGGGCATTTTGTCCTATATTGATCGTGATGAGTAAGGTGAGTGTAAAATATGGAAGGAAAATCGAAGTAAGCTGTTCTGATATGTTGGTCTGTGGCGACGTAGGTGTAAGATGTTGAGGAAGAGTGAGAGATGCCAGTGTGTTCGAGCTGTCTGTGATGATGGAGAAGAGAATAGCTTTGATGGGTCAAAATATCTCGGGTCTATATACTTTCCAATGTCTCATTTCGTGAATCATCTGCGAGGCATCACACGAAGTAGTGAAGCTGGCTGAAGTGGGATTACACTATGGTGAATAGCGATTCCATAGTGCGCTGTCACTGTTGTTGAAGGTCGACAATGCGGCTGATCGGATGACTGAACAGATACAAAGGCATACTTTGTGTGTGCCTTTGTCAGACCTAAGTCGAAACTATGGAAGGATGAGGCAGCTTGGACATTCTTTGAGTTGCCTTCGCGTTGCCTTTTTTTATCATAAGTCATTGAGATATTAACAAACGGCGCAGCTGGCCGTGAAAACTCGCCATCCCATCACAGCTAGAAGATAGCATACACTGGCAGAGGGATGAGGCACGCGTCATCTTCAGCCAAGTTACCCCAAGGTGACTGACGAAAATCCCATACTCGAATGGCATGGAAACATCGGTTTTCATGGGAAAGGGTCAAGCTTGTATGAGGTGTTGAGTATAATGTGCCAACTAGCTATGTTCTCAGCGAATGAACTAAGGTAAGAAGTGGTATCTCGCTTGCAGTAAAACAATCCCAAGAATAGAAATCTAAAGCTTCACCCGTCCACCGTTGAGTTCATCCCAATCCCGCCCCGAGAAAGGCTCGTAGGTGTTGTTCTTCAACCAGTACACTTCGCCAGCGGCGTCCGTGCCGCTCGGCCTGACACCCTGGGACCGGAGACCGTGCTTCTGCTGCTTGTTCGTACCCGTTGTCTGCATAGCCTCGGGAGGCATGACTCGCAGGAAGATGGGCAAAGCATACTTGGGTAGTGACTGCTTCACATGCTGCGCAATACTCCTGAGCACCTCCTCGGATGGTTGGCCCTGAAGGACGACGGCAGCACACCCTGCGCGCCCGTCGTGGTTGGGCAGCTCAACGCCGTAGACGTTTGCCTCTTGGACCAATGGGTGTGAGCCAACGGCCTCGCCAACCTCTTGTGTCGACACGTTTTCACTCTTCCAACGGAACGTATCGCCAATGCGATCGGTGAAGTAGAGCCTTCCTTCGCTGTCCCAGCGAACCACGTCGCCCGTCCTGAACCAAGCATCTCCCTTCTTGAAAACATTCCGCAAGACCTTTGCCTTTGTTGCGTCTGGATTGCCGTAGTAACCCTGGAAGCGGCGGTTGAGATCGTCGGGCGAGAGTCTGAACATGAGCTCTCCTGGCTCGCCAGCCTTGGCAGGCCTGCACAGACCCGTCTTCCTGTCCCTCCAAGGCTCCTCGTTATTCTCATCCATCTCGGCGAGGGCAACGTCGAGGCCCATGACGAGGCTGTACAGAGTACCGTTTCGTCCGACAGCGCCCTTGGCAAAGTCGTTTCGGCTCAAGTTCCAGGTTCCAAATGAGCCTTCGGTAGCGGCGTAGAACTCGGCAATGGTGTCGATGCCGAACCTCTCCTTGAACCGGTTCCACACGTCCGGTCGCAGGCCATTGCCGAAAGCTACCCGCACATTGTGCTTCTTGTCGAGACTTTCGCCAGTGACGGGATCGACTTGCGGGGTAGCTGCAAGCAAATATCTGCAGGTCTCGCCCACGTACTGGATGATGGTGGCCTTGGATGAGCGGACCTCCTCCCAGAAAACCTTGGTCGAGAACTTTCTTCCTATGCAAATCGTGCCACCCGCCTCGAGGGTATTGCCGAATCCTAGCAAGGCCGCGGAGCTGTGATACAACGGCATAGACTATGGTTTTGTTAGTTCGGGGTGTTTGATGGGCTGATAGGTTGACCTACAGTGTAGAAGACGTCATTGGGAGAGTTGCTGGTGAGTCTTGATGTGAAAACACCACCGACGATGCATTTCGCCCAGGACACAATGGCGGGTTTGGGCATGCCCGTTGTTCCTGATGTGTAAATCAGGATCGCCAGATTCTGGTACTGGCTCTCTGACCGATCAGAGTCGGGAGCACGCCTGGGCTTAACGGCGTCGATTTCTCTGTGCAAGCTCTCATCGAGCACCACGAACTGCACGGTGCTGAGCTCACTCCTCACGTCTTCAGTGACATTGGCGGCGACATTGGGGTCAATCAGCATCAGCTTCGTCTTCGCGGCCTTGGCGCAGTGAGCTAGCGGTTTGCCGGTCAAATTGTAGTTGATGAAGGCTGGTTTTGCGCCAATGGACCACAGGCCGAGCCATAGGAAAACGAAGACGTCAGAGTTCTGGAAGTTGATGGCGACAATGTCCTTGGGCTTGACGCCGTGGCGTTCCCTCAACCAGGTGCCATATTTCAGGACCTGCTCGTAAGTCTCGCGGTAGGTGTATGTTTTGCCCTCGAAAATGATGAACGTCCGATTGGCAGACGACTTGTTTTGTGCCGCTTGTTCGAGGATGTAAAACTGGTTCAACCGGTCTGTTCGCTCACGCCACAGAGCCGAAAGGGTTGCGGGTAGCGCACAGGAGAGCAGCTTTCTGTCGTACCACAAAGAAATGCGAGCGTTGATGTACGAATAAGCTGCGGCTGCAGCCGGCAGAGCGAGTGCGAGCGGGACTAAACGGCGAGGAAACGAAACAAGTCAGCGCGATCGGCCCCCAACGATGTTTTGTGCAGATGGCTGTGCCGAGGCAGGCTGATGTAATGCGCGATTGTGGCGCATTGAGTGTGTGCCAGAGGTCGGTCTCCTTTGCGCGATGGTTTTTTTTTTCTTGGCGGGGATCCTGAGCAGGGCCAAATAGTCATGACGGCAGAGCGGGAGCCGTGGAGAAAAAAAACAAAAAGGCAGTTGGGGAGAGCTCACTTACCAGGCATTTTCACTTTGGCCGAGTGGCCAGTATTTGGATCCGGCTAGAGGTAATTCCTTCCAAAGGTTGACTGTTGTGTTGGTGTTCGAAGAGAGATGAGAAGGCCGACTGGCAGGGAGGCGGAGAGTGGCTAAATGTCTTGATTGTGCGCCTGGTTGTTGGTTTGGTGTGTGAGACTCGGAGTCAGTAGTGTTGTCTGAAGCTGTAGCTGGTGAAGAGAGCTTTGAGGCCGGGCTAGGGTACACTGGAAGTCCTCGCCAAGTAGGAGTAGCTTTGAGGAAAGGCAACGTAGTTGAGACTTGACTGACAAAAGATGTAGTGAGCCAATTGCGCGAGGGTGTGGGTGAGGATAGGTATTTGTAACGGCCTGTCGAGGCTGTCACAAGATAAGAAAGGGTTTAAAAAGTAGAAAGCCTGTGTTGCAGTCGGCATTGGGATGTGTCGTCCCTGGTTTGAGGGACCCATACGGGGTGGAAAAGATGGGATAAAACCACCTGTCGGTCCTATCATGCACAACACGACACGACACAACACGACGCAGCAGCACCTTTTGCACCCCCCTCCGATTCTCGCCAAACAGTATCCGTACTCGGTGTGGTACTTCCAGAGGAGCAGTGACCTCAACATTCGGCTGTTGGGATGTGGGAGCCCATGTATGGAGTACCTCTTTGACTAGGAGAGCAACTTGGCGACCAGATGGGCGGGACAAATGGAGAATATCCTTCTATGGGGCCCTAGACCAGGGTTGGGGTGGCGGAGAAAGCTCTTGATCAACGATGAATCGATGATGGACAAGGTACTGGCATGACATTCCTTCTCGACAGCCGAGGAATATGACCAGCTTCGACTGTCACGTTGGCGATTGTGTTGGCACTGGTGCTTGCTCGTGGTGCAGCTGCACGCGCTTGTGGGACTGGACGGTTGACTTTTGGCCTCGGTGTAAGTCGACGGTGGCAGCTCTACTGCGTAATGCTAGCTATGCTTTTGCTTTCCGTGTGCTTGGTCCGTCGCAGGCAATGGCTGGGTTGTGGAGATGGATACAAGGACGGCATTGCTGGCCTCTCTCGGCGCGCCGTGCTGTGCGAGTGCGGTGTCAAGTTCTCCTTAGCTCGCTCATCGCGGTACGGATACTTTCGCCTGCATGCTGAAGTCGCAATAGTCCTGTGGAAGTGTGGAGAGAGAGAGAGGCCAGCCAGCAGCCGCAGATCGAGAGCAGGCTTGCAGCTCGTTGGTTTGCGTTGCGTTTGTGGTACTGCTGCATCGCCAGGCTTGGCCTGGCCTGCCAAACTGGGCTAAACGAAGAACAAATCGAAGCTTGAGCCTCGGCATCTGTTGAAGCTCGTGCGCCCTCGCGTCTGTACTCTGCGCCAGAAGTCGTTTTGAGTAACCGATTCGGGAGGGGTGGGCAGCAAACGCAGGCTAAACAGCAAGTCTCTGGACTCTTTGATGGATGCTTCTTCAACGGCGAGTTGCGATTCGCCGGCAAGAGAGCGGGGTTGTTCCTTGCATTCCATGTTCCTGCTTTCCATTGCCAGACCTCCCCCAGTCGACCAGATGCATGTCCTGGTCCCCTGTCGCTGTCCGCATCCCTCGTCCAGACGACCCGGTTTGACGGGAGCGAACCTACCGCTCGCTTTCTCTCTCTCTTTCTTTCGACAGCTACGGACCGCTCGCAACAGATCGAATAGCACGTTTGCGTTTCCGATGAACTCTGCATTGACAATGGTTGCCGAGGTGTTGGGCTTTGGTTCTGCGGCTCTTGACACATTGTCTTCCGCAGGCACTCAAAAGGAGCGCCATATATGTGCAACTCCTGGCGGACGTTTGCTTATATCAGCTTACATGAACGACGGCTCGATGCAACAAGGGTCCATCACGCGTTGCTCTTCCAATGTCCATTGATAGGTGTTCCGGAACGAAAAGCTCGGCTAGATCACTTCAAGCTGGTTATCCCTGGGTCCGTGTCGCCGTACTGACTTGACTCGGCTTGATGACGGATCCATCTAGAAACCGGGTATGCATGCCGAGCTGCGAGACTTTGTTGGCTCCCGCACTATGAAGGGATCGCCAGGCTCGCTTCAAAACTCCGAGTACGTTTGCCTTCCTAAAAGGGTAACATTATTCTTTCTTTTGGTACGATCACGAGTGATTCGTGGTAATGGACGACAGCCATTGCGGCAGATTAAAGGGGCAGCTGGGAGGTCGCTTCCTCGGCTGATGGTCAGCTCACTCAACACTTTAGGTCGGAGGAATCGGCGACAATATTCGATGCCGGTTCCGCTTCTGCATGTTGGTGGAGCGGACTCGAGGAGGAAAAATCGGGCCTCGGACTCCTGAATTGTCCCTGAATTGTTCTTGAATTGGGTCGTTGCCGCTCATCCCACCGTCTCACGTCAGCGTTGTCCCAGCGGAAAAGATAACGTCTATTCGCCTCCGAGGCGCAGGCGTCAATCGCACTCGCATCCGACGGACGTGCATTGTGACAGACACGCCCGAAGTGCGGGTAGAGAGTGATGAAGAACATCTGGGAATGCCTTCGTTTCGTGGCCAAACAAGAGTCAGGTGCATAGCGTATAAGTAGGGCCAAGGGCGTCTGTCCATTCCTTGATTGTGTCGAGGGGCCGGCAAGGTATCCGAAGTTGTGGCTTGATGCCATAACGGTGACAGGCATCGAGGACATGTGTCTGACCTTGTTAGACAGAAAGTCTGCTTATTACGATCCGACTCTCCAGTTGCATAATCCACGTGACCTCGCGCAGCAATTAAGGTTAAGATTAACGTGGCTGCGTGGCTCCTTGATTCTTATCTTATCGGGAGCTCCCCTCAAGCGCGACGTTGCTGAGTCAAGCATCTCTGGCCTGTCTGAGGTAGGTATACGAATACCCCTTGCTAGAATTCCACCTCCCATGATCATTGTGGCTTGCTTGCTGCAGCTTGCATCGCTCAACTTCACGACCGCTGCGTAGCTTCTACTGACCATTGCCGCGCACGGCAAAGGCTCATCAAATGCCTGTTGACGACCAAGCGGGCAGCCCGGCAGCTAGCGGTGCGAGCTTCACCCCCGATCAATCCACCACCTCCGCCCCTCCGCCGCAGACCGAGTCCCGTAAGGCTCCGCCCCCCGAGAAGCCATCCGATGCGCGTCGGCGGTCGTTTGTCATATCCGCCTTCTGGGCCATTGTCCTTCTCCTCGGCCTGCCAATATGGTGGATGACAACGAGCATCTACCGCGCCAACCTGCCCCTGAGCGGCATGGTCCAATGGGCTGATGGAAAGGTAGGCTGACACTAGCCGGCGTCTTAACAAGTTGAGGGAGGGCACTCCGCTGACTACTTGCGTAGGCTTGCCGTCCCGTGTTTCCTCTTCGTATATCAGTACAAGCGAACAAGCTGCAGGAACAGGAAGCGCAGAACCTTCTTCGTCTCACTCAACATGCGCTCGACGATCTCAACGACTTCTCAGGTCATCATCTCCGTCTGCAGCTTGCGCCTCGTGGCGGCGACGCCGTCGTTCCCGAAGATGACTCCCAGGTCGCCCTGACAATTCGCCTCAGCCCTGGAGACTCTACGACGGTCTCGCTGAACCCTCACTCCCCGATCCTCGACATTACGTACCCTCCGAACTCGATTCCGTCAGCGACTTCTTCCTCTTCTGCGCTAGCCTCGTACATTGCGAACGAATTGCGCTCTACCTACGCCGAGGAGCAAGCCATTATATCATATCTTCTCTCAGCGGCCTCGGGTGCTTCTGACGCGAGGCCTCAGGGGATGTCGCCAGAGGCAGCCGAGTCACTGGCGAAGCGGACCACCCGTTCTTTGCGATATTCACCGACGTACCACTTGAGCTTCTCGCTCTTCACCAGCGGCTCTGCCCCCAATACCTGGGACATCGAAGCAGCTATCCAAACATACATGAAGCCTATGCTTGATGTGCTGAGCCCCATTCATAACTTTACGATAGATACCCAGGTGCAGCTGTACGCAACACCAGGCGCGCAGTCCCAGGTTTTGAACAAGGACGACCTTGCCTCCTTCATCAACGCGGCCGAATGGCCCCTGTCGCCCTCCATCGGTGGTGCGCCGACGGTAAACTTCCTTCTATTCGTTGGAAACCAAACAATTGGATTGGATTCGGGGTCCGAAACATCACAGTCGTGGCTCATCCCGCAGTGGGGAACTGTTTATCTTCTGTCGCTGCCTTCGACGACGTCACATGTTCCGGCTGCTACACTCAAGCAGCCCATGCTTACCTTTGCTGGGCACTTGCTGTCACTCCTTGGCACTCCTCAGTCAGGCTCTCTTCCTTTGCGGCTCTCGACTCTTACGCGCATTCGATCCGCAGACCTGTTGCTGCGTGCATCGTCTACCCTGGGGTCCCTGGCAAGACTGTCACTTGCACTGCCGTCTATATCCATCCCCCGCAACGTTGCGGACGGCGTTGCCAAAACCATGCATCATTTGGAGCTCGCGTGCGCCAGCCTAGGCGGGCCCGAAGGATTGGAGCATGCTAGAATCGCTGAGGCCGAGGCCGAGCGAGCGTTTTTCGAGAAGAGTATGGTCGGGCAACTATATTTCCCCGACGAACATAAAATTGCCGTCTATCTGCCGCTTTTGGGCCCGGTGGGAGTGCCCCTCGTGATGGGCCTGTTGAATGAAATCAAGGCTTGGAGAAAGCGGAGACGGGACAGAGCCGAGGCAGAAGCTAGAAAGAAGCTTTAGAACGTGATGAGTTGACATGACACAATGAGTGCATATAGGCCTACACAAACAAAATTACCAAACTCACCGCATCCCATACACTCGTGCCTGACTCTCAAAACTGAATGTCTCGGGCGGTGGCAGTGACATTATGTCGGCTGATAAGCTGTGAAGCTTGGAACAACATATCCAATCCCCATATTAGCTTGGCGATGACACTGAGTTTTGTCGCCAGACGTACTTGATCGTGACGTCAAAAAGTTTATCAGCGATTAAGCAGCCTTTTCTGTTGCATGTCGAACGAATGAAAGACCTGGACGATGTCAACCTCGGTGGATAGTATCTGTATCGTCTTGGGCAATGAGAGGTGAGTCTCGGTAAGTTGAGGTAAGCATCGGTGAGACTGTTCAGGGCCTGTGCCTTGAGAGATTACCTCATGGTGGGCACCTGTCACACCCCGTCGGTTCCGATCTTAGCGCGAAATGCAATCCCTGCGCTCCAACGCCACCTCGAAGCTTGCTTGTTGTCTCCGCCGAGGGGGCTTGTCCACATCCACTGCCCAGCACCGCGCTGACGTCGGCCGCAATCCTTTTCTCCCTTACAATTTACCCCCCATCGGCGTTTACCCTTCCGATATTGTCATACAAGGCTCGAGGGCTCAGCTGTCACGGCGCATCAACGGGCGCTGGGACGCAATCACAAGCTCTGGCTCGACTCGACTCGACTTGGATGGTCTGAACCCATTGACCTTTTCTCGGCACAGCCTTCGCAAACCTATCACCTCCTCTCCACAAAGCTGACAACAACGCATCGTCTTGCGCTCTCTCTCTTATCATTGACGGCCCGAGCAATGTCTCCACTATGAAGAGCAGAAAATGCTTCCCGAACCGACTTTGAGCTTCACGCTCCCTAGCCTTCACGATGACACCGTCTTGGATTGCCGTTTATATCATTGTCAGGCATTGAACCCCTCCGCAACGAATCCGCCGCCATGGAGACGACACGCTGCCGTTGTCGCCCATCCTTATGCGCCTTTGGGCGGTTCCTATGACGACCCTGTCGTCGACATCGTTGCCGCGACGCTGCTGCGACAAGGCTTCCTAGTGGGGACCTTCAACTTCAGGTAAGAATCGGTGGGCTTGTGGACATTGGGGTGTTATCACGGCCAGCTTGTTCCGTAACTTACACGATGTTCTGTCAACAGGGGCGCTTCTGGATCCGCAGGTCGTACGTCATGGACGGCAAAGCCAGAACGCAGCGACTATATGTCATTTATTGGCTTCATGGTCTACTACATTCACTTCCTCGATCCCTACGGAGCGACCAACGCTCGCTCGCCGACGACGACTCTCTCACCGGGGCTCCCTGACGCTCAATCCAAATCTCCCTCATACCATCCCCTTCTCCTCATCGGCGGTTATTCATATGGAGCTATGGTGACGACGCAGATTCCACCAATGGCGCATATCCTCGCACAATTCAAGGTGCCTGCAGCTGGCTCCGCGGCTGCTGACATTCGTCTTCGAGCGCAGCATCTGGCGGAGCAGCAGAACGTCATCTTGGCGAGCGCCAGAGCAGCGAGCTCCGTATCACCGCGAAAGAAATACCTCGGCATGCGGGTCGGAGGCGATGAAGATACCCAGCGCAAGAGTCACGAAGCTCGGAGATCCATGTCGGAAACGAGGAGGTCCTTCTCTATTGACGCCGAGGATAAGATTCGGCGGGGCGTCAATGATTTGTTGGCGAAAACAAAAAGACATCATCATAAGGGCGTGGCGGTGCCCCAGGAAAAGCTGGCTACTATACCTTCCAACCATGAAGTCTCTGTTGTGGTGGAAGAGGTTCCTAACCTGATCCAGGTCCGGCCGGCATATCTACTCGTGTCTCCGCTGCAGGGAGTCATTACCCATCTAGCAGCTATGTCATTCCTTCACACAACACCTGGTCGAGGACTGTTCTCGCGGGGTGGAGGAAGACTTAGAGAACAGGGGGCGCCGACCTTTACGGCGGATCAAAAACATCAAAGTGAGAGCAAGCTGGTTGAAAACGATACCCTGGCATTGTACGGCGACAGGGACATCTTCGTTCCCGTGGCCAAATTGCGAGGATGGGTGGAACGTCTGGAAGGGAACGACGGATCCCATTTCCATGGCGAGGAGGTGTCTTCGGCTGGACACTTTTGGACAGAAGGGAATGTGGCTTCAGTCCTCCGAGATAAGGTCTCGGAGTACGCGGCGAAGCTATTGCAAGGGGCTGACGAAAGTAGACCCGCCAGTGAACCGGCGTAAGCACATTGGTGTGAGCGTACCTCGAGATTTATTGGCGGGAGTGCACGAAGGACTCAGCCGCTGTCTAAATCAATGAACGAATCAAATATGGGTGTGTAAGAATACTTTGAGTAGGACGATATGAGAAATGAGTTGGACGTCAGCGAGTGTAAGCCACACAGCGACACATGTGAAGGAGCTTGGCGTAGAAAGAGCTTGAACGACGTTGGAGTTTGATTCGAGGAAGGTGGTTTGGTGATTACATTCTACGAACACGGATATACACAGAGATGATCAAGACTGCGTCAAAAGGAAGAAATGATGTGTTGATAGCCCCAATTCGACCCTGGAAGCCCGTATCTTCCCCTGTGTCACGCGGTAATGCCTTACGCCATCTCGCAATGCCAACAATGCCGAAGCTATCGCGGTACAACTCGAGATGTCTTCAATGCCAGCTAGAAGCAGAGGATCGTCGACCATGTAGTAACGCAAAATCACTCATCGATATTCACTGTCCTATCAGCTCAGGGTAGTAGTGATGACCAAATGCCAAAAAGATCCACAATGGCAAAAGAGTTCACCCCCCCGGTGTTGAACTGGGGGCTACATCTCTAGCGCTCATACTGGGAAATTTCTGGTGCTCATGCTGGAATTCGAACTCGGGGACTCTCGTATGCGCTGAGCCTGTCGTCGAGTAGGCTGGTTGGCGATTTTAATTGTTGACCGTAAACCACTCCACCACCCAGCCAGTTTGACCTGACCCGTCGACCTAGGCGGGCGCCTGCTGGCTGGTGAGGGCAATGGAGTTGAGGGAGGGTATATACCTTTCTCGTGTATTCAGATGGAAGGTGCGAGGATTGCATGGGTTGGTGGCTTCTTTCCCATCAAGGTGGCCCGCCCTACTGGCCCATAGCTATCGGGCAGGTACGCTCGAGATTATGACATTGCCATGAAGCCAGATTTTTATTATCTATCTATGTATCTTGGAATGGCTACTCATTTTTGTTTAGTTTAGAATAGGTACGCAAGCGCGTAGAAAAACTCACCTTTGCGAATACCTCTGTATGATAATGGCGCTTTAGTGGTGTAAACTAGTATATCGGGATATAGATACTCATTGGTACATTTGACATGACGAAACGACAATGTCATCAATCCCCGTGAAGATATGGCATGTACGGCAAACATAGGTCAAGCTGACGATAGGTCTGCTATTATTTCGATGATAGCCGAAAGAATTATCTTCGGGTAAGAGTAAGGACGTTGAGCGTTGCTTCACTTCTCACATTGCCTACATGGGTTTGCTGATGGCCTCGGAGCGACTAATCATAGGGGGAGTGACGAGTTACCCTTTCTTCATGGCTACAAAAAGCTGTGTGAGGACCCAGAACAGTATCCCGCGATGTCCGAATCTTGACGGTGAAGAGGACGATCATCACAAGTCCATCATATTTCTAGGCAGTAGACTTGTCATTAGCATGGCCAGTTGTACCGTCAGATTTGCGTGACAACGATGTCTGGTCTGTTACGGACGCCGCAAACAGAAAATGGGGGGACGAACAAAACGAGTCAGTATCTTGGCAGGGACACAACGGACAAGACTGATTTTCACTCTAGGGCATTGGATCTGCTTACAGTATAGGGATCGGTCGGAGCTGAGAGAGTGATTACGTTTACGAACATGAAGAAAGAGCAACCATGAGACGCAAGTGTGGAGACGGAAGCAGCAGAGTTCTGAATCATGAGGTCGGGTGAGCGTCTCAGTAGAATGCTCCGGAATAAGATCGGGATTTCAGTCTGGGGGAAACAATTACGCATTCATTTTGCAATCATGCTGCCTACGACTTTGCAATACTCGAGACACCTTGTATGATGCATAAATCAAACGGTCTCTGAGAAGAATGTCTATCTATGTAGCAAGGACGCCGTTGAAAGCGTTGCGGGCGGCAGTTGGATATTTCCCTCTTCCCTCTTAGTGCTGCGGGGTTGAGAAACAAATAGATTCCATAGCGCATGAGTGACCGGTCCTTGAGCGTTTCTGGGCCCTCGGATAACGATGAGGGGACTCGCGTTGAGATAGACGATAATGCGGGATGGAAAATTAGATTGACATTCTACGTTCACGGCCCAGCCCAGAAACACCGGTTATGCCTTTTGGTCACCTGGTGGAGGCCAGAGTTGAAGGCCGGAGAGGTGAGCTCAAGTGCCTAAGCAACAAGATGGCCTGAGACCATCTGTTGTGACAGGCGAGGCAAGCGGCGGCGGCGGCGGGAGCTGAATATGGGAGATGAGACGGAACGGAAAGTTCACCGGGCGGCCTGTCCCGGAGGGTGTTGGTGTTGTGGGAATCTGTGGTGGTTGGTACGTGGGCGATAACATGACCGGTGTTCAAACGTGTATCTTGGAGATGGAGAGGAGTGGGAGGTCCGGCTTTTGCTGGAGATACGGGCAAGTAGTGTCACATCATGTCACGGCCAGAGCAAGGGAAGGCAAGGCAAAGGGTGAAAAATTAGAAGATGCCTAGCTAGAGTGAGGGTTGTCAGCTGAGTACGTAAAGGAGCGGAATGCAACGGGTGAGATGTGACGCTGAAGAATGAGGTATAGTTCTTTCATGACCGAGAGATGGATATTGATAAACAGAAGAGAAGACTGGGAAGGAGAGTGAGAGGCACATGTGAGGATGTGAGTGAAAGTCTGTATGTGGAGACGAGGGGCAGGCGAGGGTGTATCGCGGCAGGGCGTGATTGGGTGAAGGGTTGACGATGCAGTTGCTTGATGTTCTGCCCCTCCGTGCCCCTCTGATGGGCTCCGTTACCCCCAGGATCCCCAAATCCGGGGTGGGCCACTAAGCTGGAAGAGTCTGGAGAAGGGGGCACTGGGGTGGTCATGATGGTGGGGTGGGGCCACCTAGCAGAGGTCATCTGCCCTGCGCCTGAGCCGAGAATCCCAGCGAGAGACAATGACTTTGTGTACTCGGTAGATTTGAAGGATGTGCTGCATCTGTGATTGCGTCTGTTATTACGTCTGCGAGAGCATCTGTGGTTTTTTGTTTCTTTTTCTTTTTCGGTAGGAATATACAGAGACCGGAGAAGTACCTCCATGGCTGAGTTGCTGAGGTAAGGTACCTTAGATCCAGATCGACCAATCGGTTACCGCTGAATGCCCTATTACGTCTGGCTGTGACGCAGAGACGTTGGCACGTGGACCCCTGAGGGCGGTATGCAGCATGCTGCCCCTACGCCCCGCCTGCTCTTCTGCCTCAGGGCGGCACGACGGGAGTCAGGACGGTCGGGTCAGCAATAATTGCACTGGTTATTGACATGAGCCCCCAAGGCCCTCCGCTGTGTGTTGTGTGGGGTCTGCAGCGACTGTCATCACCGTCCACTTTTTCTTCTCCCAGCGTGCCAGGTTCTCCACGTTCCATGCCCGGCCGGCCACTGACGGCCGAACGTTGTCACTGGACCACTTCTTTCTCTCGTCTCCAAACCAAACTCGACGTTGCCAAGTTTCCGATTCCACCTCACTCCGGGCACCTTGTTAACACATCCGCTCTTCTTTCTTCACGACACTTCCTCCCTTCCGCTCCCGATCCTCTACCAACACATCCTCTCTTCCTTTTGCCTTCCGTCTCGTTCTGTTATCCTCTCACTCTTCCTCTCTCTTCTGTCTCGTTCAGTCACCGAGACGACATCGAGTAACGCCCAGTCCGTCGCTTCACCTTGGTACACTCGCCTTCAAGTTTCAACCACCACTCTCGCCATCTGACCAACCATCTTGTCCCGCTTGTGCCCGCCTGTTCCTCTTTACCCTTCTTGTCATCACCTAGTACCAAGGAGGGTTTACTCTCTACCTAGGTACTCCCGAGTCCTTCAACGCCTCTTCTGCCCCCCACCAAACAGAAACGACTCTTTCGACTCTTCCGACAAGTCCGACACCCCCCTTCCGAACAGGTTGTCCGGTCATCTGCGCTCCAATTCGGCCATCTGCACACTGTACCCTGTCTGCCTGGGCTTGTGTCACCCAAAGATTACCATAATCACCAAAACACTGTCATGGAAATCATCTGACAGCCACAACGCCTACGTTTGCACTCTTTGTCTGAGTACTCACTGAAACCGAAGCCCTGTCACTGGCTTCCTGTACGAACTTGTCCCAGACGACGCCTATCTAACTTTGCAGTCCTAAGAAACTACATCTTGACCAGAACTCTTTGGCAGACGCTCGACCTGTCTTTCGTCTACATTCCCACTCCGTCTTTTCTCCGCACCGTCCTACGCTACTTTGCTCCCTCCGAACTCGCCGCCGTCGCGACGACACACCAACGCGCGCATGCTCTGACCGCCCTCAACAACCCAACAACCAGAAAAAGCACATGTCAGGAGTCTGTTGCACGATCACGCTCCAAGGCTGTGATGCGACACGGACGGCACCAGGGCTGCCTCTCGTCCACCAGCTTCGTTTCCCGACTTTCCACCTAGCCCTCCGAACCACCATCGTTACTTTCGAGCCAAACCCGCCCTCGCCATCATGAACGACGTTTTCCTAAATCCTGTCCACCCGCTGCCCGCGATCCGGGTCAAGTCTCCCTCCTCCTCTGTGCCCTCGGCCTCGACCAAACCCGGCCGCCCCTCTTCCATTAAGAAACAACAACCGCCCACGCCTCTAAATGTTGCCTTTGATTCAATATCCCGGGCCATCAAAGGCGCCAATAACCTTGTCTTGTCCCTTCGCGATGGGTTGTCTGAGCTGGAACGGGAAAACAAAAGGAAAAAGGAGGAGCGTAGGCTTGTCCTTTCCATTCACATGAAAAATGTACGTCTGCCCTTCGTCATGTCCTGCTTGTTGCATCGGCCTCAAACAGGTCCGCTAATAAATCGTCTGCACCTAGGCGGAAAGCAGGAAACAATGGCAGGAAGCCGCAGAAGAGCTCGACATCCTCGAGGAAAACAACCTTTGGAAACTCGACCCATATTCAGGAGATTACAACCCAGCCCTGATCGAGACGCGACTACAAGAACTCGACGATGCACGAACAAATTGCGACACTCGCGCCATGATGCACCTTGTTCGAACCGCCCTATGCAGAGACCTCGGCGGCATGGGGAACGTCGATCTATATAGGCACTCCTATGTTGGCACCAAGAGCCTCATCGAACGATACGTTGACTCGGCTATGCAGACGATCGATGCCCTAGTAGAGAAGAGCCAATTTGCGTTGCCAGAAGGCATGGGTCAGAGGGACATCCTCGAGAGCGTCTTGTACGCCCGCCAGAGTTTTGGTCGAAGTGCACTGCTCTTGAGTGGAGGCGGGACTCTGGGTATGTCCCACATTGGTGTTCTCAAGGCCCTCTTCGAAGTCAAACTGCTTCCGCGCATCATATCAGGAGCCTCAGCAGGTTCCATCGTTTCGGCCGTAATCTGCACGAGGACCGATGAAGAGATTCCTCGGCTCGTAAAGGAGTTTCCCTATGGCGACCTGGCTGTCTTTGATGCCGAGGAGAACCCTGACGGCGTCTTCGACCACATGCGGAGATTACTCACCGAGGGAAGCTGGTCAGATATAAAACACCTGACCCGCGTAATGCGTGGTTTGGTCGGAGATCTTACATTCCAGGAAGCCTATAACCGAACTCGGCGCGTCCTCAATATTTGCGTCTCAACCGAATCTATGTACGAGCTGCCGCGTCTGCTAAACTACATCACGGCACCCAATGTCATGATCTGGTCTGCAGTAGCTGCATCATGCTCCGTACCTCTCGTCTTCAGCGCTGCTCCGCTGCTCGTAAAGGATCCCGATACCGGCGAACACATGCCCTGGAATCCGACACCGCAGCGATGGATTGACGGCTCTGTGGATAATGATTTGCCCATGACGAGGCTTGCAGAGATGTTCAACGTAAATCACTTCATTGTCTCTCAGGTGAACCCTCACGTCACCCCATTTCTGGCTCGTGATGACCAGTTGGATCCCGATGATTTCGCGGCACGCCAGGGATCCAGCCTATCACCCAGCAAGCAAGAGCTCGACTGGGTATACACCCTCACTGCCCTTGCCAAAGATGAGGCGTTGCATCGTTTGCATTTCCTTGCCGAGATTGGGGTATTTCCGAATCTCGTCACTAAGCTTAGGAGCATTCTCAGCCAGAAGTATTCGGGCGATATCAACATCCTCCCGGAAGTCAATGTGCATGACATTCCGAAAATTCTCAGCAACCCGAGCCCCGAGTTCATGCTGCGAGCCTGTGTGATGGGCGAGCGTGCTGCATGGCCAAAACTGAGCCGGATCCGCGATCGTTGTGCCATTGAGCTCGCGCTGGACAGGGCGGTCCATCGTTTGCGAGCTCGTGTCGTGTTCTCGGACAGTCAAGTTGACTTGAGAAGGCTCACCACCGGCATCGCCTTGCCGCCACCTTGGCCCAAATCAATTGCTCTTCCAAAGCAGACGTCCTCTGTAGCTCCCGCTCTCACGCTAGACACCGAAGTCGTGAAGAACAGACAGCGTAGATGTTCTGGTAGCAGTGTGCAACTCATGGCCCATCATAGGCGTCTGATGGAGAACGTGCTTACAGACGAAGAGACGGAGGAGGAGGAACGACTTGAGATGC